TGTTGTTTTTCTCTGCTATGTGGAGGCCTCTCACTTTTGCTACACAGGAAAAGTTGTTTCAGAAGATAAAAAGGTAACAGGGAGATGAAGAAGAACCTTTCTGCCTTTTTGGTATGTGTAAATAATTGTCCCCTCATCAGACCTTCTGGAAATAAATAATGTAGGGCAAGAGAAGAGACTTATATAGCATCCCCTGTACTACTGAACTCTGTAGACCAACAGCAGCCTCTTGGTAAACCAGATATCCAGAATTTGGATCTTTTCTTAAGCTAACAAAATATAAATAACCGAATTCTATTTTAATTACATTGTTGCTTGTAAGTCCTATGGAAGAACTGCATTTTTAAAGGGAACTGAAACAGAGAGGAATACATGGAATAGTAAGGAAGCTGAGGCAGAGGGGGGTACAGAAAAATAGAGCGAGGTTATTAGGAACAGTTAGGAGAATATGAGAGACAGCTGAGTTTTACAGAAGCACTCCCAGAGTCCTTGTGAGCAAGAGTTTCCCCGTGCAACTAGGGACCAGGAGGACTGTGGAGAATGCAGAAAGAAGTAATGAGGTATTTAAATTGATTATGGTATTTAAAGGGAAGGGAGGAAGGATAGGAACAAGTGCTGATGTGGTCAGATTCACTGGAAGAAAGATTATTTTTGTCAGTTTAAGTTTTCATCTGATTGTGGAAGATGAGGAAAAAAAGTGTCAGCAAAGCCTGAGAGGAGATTGTCACAATTAAGGAGGACCACGGATTAGCTCTGGTTCAGTAAAAGCAACGCAGTAAATATAAACACTTTCGTTAAAAAGCCCGTACCAGTCAAGCTGCTGAGCAGTATGAACCAAAGCAAGCAGAGAAGCCAAGAAAGCTGTTGAAATCTGTGGAAGCACAATATTTTATTGCTTGCTCTTGTACTCAGTATGATTTGCTCTTATAGCGCAACAGTTCAAAGTGAAATTCACAGCCCACAGGGCGCCTGCCCGAAGGAGCTGCAGAGGGAGGAATTTTGACAGCCATGCACTGGAAGACCAGGAGAGAAGCTGACCCATGGAAGGATGTTTCACAGAAGTGGTCTAAGGTATGAAAGAGTTGGAAGACGATTGCTGTAATGTGCATTAGTTGACCCATAAACGGAAGGGTCAGAAGGAAAGAGGGAGAGAAGTGGAATCATTTAGTGATGGTACCACAGAAAAAGAGGTCTATCTAGATATATGTCACACATTACTTGGCTGGGGAGGGAGGGGTAAAAAATAAATAGGTAGTACTTGAAACAATTTTGAGAGTGTTAGAAAATCTGAGAATCAGAAAAGAAACAGTGCAAATCGAACCATCACACTATCTGTAAGCGATGGTTCAAAAGCTGTCTGAACCAGGATATCCTATACAAATTCTGCATGGCTTTTCTTCTTCCCACGCAGAGTTATGGGTTTTTTTAGGCTTGCTGATCCCTTTGGAAGCAAACAGCTCCCATTAATGATGGAAATAAACACTGTATTGCACAAACAGTTCCAAAACTATGAGACTTTTGATTCCTTGCTCAATAATGTGAAAGCATACCTAGCAAGGGAGCAGACGAGGAGCATGCACAGGCCAGTAACTGATGTGGTGTGCAGCTGATCAGCCTGTTTCTTCCCCTCTGTGCATTACTTGATTCACTGACAGGAGGGATGGAGAGCAGCAGTTTTATGTCATGCACAGTTCTGTATAGTTCTAGTCTCTCCTGATGAGTCAGGCCTCTCCCTCAGCTTGCAGGGAGCATTATTTGTGTGATGGAAGGGATGTGCTGATGGCTTGTCAGTGGGAGAAGATGTAACTCTCCCTTAAGTGGGTCTGCTTGGCTTTCTTGTTCATGTCACTACTATGCATATACTCCTCTTTTTTTCTGCTCTGCAGAAGAAAGCAAGTTGTCAACTGTCAGGGATTGCCAGGTGAATTTGGCTCAATCAGCAGGGTTTTCCAAGTGTTTTAGCTCCACTGCAGTCAGTGTATCTTCAGAAATTTTTGTCCATGACAGCTACAGGTATTTATTGAGGCAAAGGTGGGGTCTTTTATTGCTCTTTCAGTTGGGATGATATTAGCTTACTTGGTTTATCACTGCAAAATAGGATGTGGATTTTATACTCTCAGTTCAGGTAAAACCCCTCTCCAGAGGAAAATTTAAGGGTATATTTGAAGTTAAGTATTGCATAAGGATTGTCTAGAACAGGCACAGGTGTGAACCAGTATTTTCCTGAATTGGAGCTTGAATAAATTAGATGTCAGTATCGTAAATTAGGAGTTATTTATTTGTTGTCGTTGTACAGGCGTGGGCTTGAGGCCTCACAATAGTGAGTGGTTTCAAGATGAATTAGGCAGAATCATGGATGACAGGTCCATTGGTGGCTATTAAATACAGTTGTCCACATGCAACCTCAGGCTCAGGAAGCCTTTAAATTGCTGATTATCAGAAGCTGTGATGCTATGGCAGGGAAAGCATCACTCTACACACACTGTTCTTCTATACACATCTGTTACTGGTCATTGCTGAAGATAAGGTACTAGGCTAGATGGATCTTTGGGCTGACTGTGTCAGGCTTTATGGAGTCAAGGTCATGAACCTGGTCTTCTTGTTCTCCTTTCTTTTGTCTGCGAATTGGATTCCACAAATGTTGTAAAACATAATTAAAATTATTTGTAGGAAGAGCAACCTGTTTTCTGCCTTGAAAAAATGTTGCAGGAAAGAGACAATAATAGCCAGTTGTTGGGATTTTTACAGGCAGATGGGAAGTTTCATTAGTTCTAAGTATATACTTATAAGGTAAACAGTTTATATTTTTTCCAGCACAACTTTTTGTGGTGGAAATTTAAGACACACCTATGCTTCAGGCACTCAAACTTGAAGATTTTGCCTATGTACTGATAGCTTGCTCAGGCTAAAAATGTTAACTGCCTTAACCAGCACCTGGAAGAAATGGGGGAATGGAAATTAGTATCTTGTTCAGTAAACTGCAGATGGCTGTTGGAAATCCACATCACTGGAGTGTACAATTGACATGCCGCAGACAAGACCAGAGAGACAAAATATTTCTATTATTATTTCATTAAAAATTGAAAACTGTTACTGAGAAGTCAAACACTCTATAGTACAGCTGATATCACAGCATTGTGTTTAAAATGTTACAATGTTGACTTGCTGTTACAAAAATTCAGTGTTACAGGAAATCAGAAACAATATGGAATAGTTTACACTAACTCTGCATTAAAACGTTCCATCTGTTCTTGCTTTAGGTTCTTAGAGAATTGCTTTTTCATCTCTGTAATGCTTTTCACTTCCTATTAGTAAGGCTTTTAAAGGTAGGCACTGAGTTAGTATAAAACCCACAGCTTTTGAGTTTAAACGCCTATTAAAACTAAAGCTGTCTGGAACTACAATAAAAATTTATTTTGGCTACAAAAGACAACTTTGAAACCTAACCCATCTGTATTTTTCCTCCTCCAAACAGTGCAACATCCTGTATAATAGAATATTTATCTTAAACAGAGACCACATATCTTTATGAAAACAATTGTTTCAACTTAATTTATGGGGGGTAATCAGCTCATATTAAGAATTTCAGTATTCCAGGATGCTAATATAAATTGGTTACAGGAGATGTAATGACTCGATGTAATTCCTCAGAGTAATCTGAAATCTGATGTTGCCATTGACTTAGTGTATAACTTGTGTATTATAATAATCAAAAGTTGCCATAAAAATTCATGTGCAGTTGCTTACAGTAATTGCAAGATAACTGGGTGTGAGATAACTGGGTGTGCAGATTAGACATATAACTGCAGCTACATTTTACTGGTGATTTAGGTGCATGTATTGTCACATGCAAACTTCATTACAGGTATAATTCCACCGGAATGATTTATTTGAAATAATTTAGCTGGTCTCTGCAATTCCTGGGCACACAAGGGAGTTACCCATGCATATCTAGTAAAGCTGCTTGGTCAGTGAATTTAGCAACTCACACCTAGAACAGATCTGACTCACTGTGAAGTGCAGTACCCCTAGGATGCATATAGCCTCCCACTGCCACGAGTGGGAGTCACGCATATCAAAGAGGAACCAGATCCCTGGAGTGTAGCTCCCTCCATACAATAGTTTGTCAGATTTTGAATTGAAAAGGGCCTGTTTTTAGCACTCTCTAAATATAACCAGCCCTGAAACTCCCACTGAGATTCCTTTCTGTCTGCCTTCAGACAATGAGATAAGGCCCCTTCTCCTGTGACATCAGTCTGTAGTCCCTCTATCATCCCCACCCCAACCCTGATAACAGCTGGCTTTGCACACATTTGAGAGCAAGGCATGGCCTGAGTTCTGAGAGATTTGACTCTCTTTCTGTAGATTACAGCTTTTCTCTTCAAACCTAGCCTCTTCTGTAGCATTTCCATCACAGAGTCATGAGCCTCTCTCCTCCAGGAGACAACTGGCTCCCATCCTCTTCTGGCCTGCGTCTTTCCTTTGTTTTGGGAACAGACACCTTGAACAATCCCCTTCTTCCCCTGTGCTCCCTCTTTCTTTTTAGACCTCCTTTTCCTCAATATACTTCAATGCAGCAGCAAAGCTTAAGTACATTTGCCCCTTTCCTCTTCCCTTTTCCCCCAAGTATGCCAGGATACACAAATTATGGATACTAAAGCAGAATTAAAGCAGAATTTATATATGGTGTGATATACATTGGATGTTCTGCCTTCTTGCATATGATTCATATCCTCATGAGCCCACAGGAAATCCCAGCAATATTTTTCCAGGCCTATCTCCTGTGCTGAGGTGCCAGGCACAGCAGGGGCTGGAGGAAAAGGGCCATTTCTGCTTCGGAAGTACTGCAGTACATAAGCTGAGCTGGGAAGGACAGGCCAACGTTATTTAGATATAACTCCTTTACTTAGTGACAGTAAGGAATGTAACACAAGGGCTTAACTCTAGCTCACGAAGTATTTATTCACATTTTATAGTAACATATCTGAGAACACTCTTACCTCAGTGGATCCAGTGAAAGCAATTTTATCAATGCCAACATGAGACGCTATTGCTGTACCAACAATTGGACCAAATCCTGGCAAAATATTGACAACTCCTGGTGGAAAGCCAGCCTGTCAAAATAGGAATGAATGAAAGGAGGCATGATTTGTGAAAACTGACAGAGCTTGTTAAACCAGACATGTGCTGGTAGTGCCTTCCCCACAAGGAGAGACAGCGACATTATTCCTGTCAATTATTCTTACCTCCTTGATGAGGGCTCCCATATAGAGAGCGCTGAGTGGTGTTTGTTCTGCTGGTTTAATAACTACTGTATTGCCACAGCACAGAGCTGGAGCAATCTTCCATGCAAACATCAGCAGGGGGAAGTTCCACTGTAGGAAAAAATAAAAGTTGATAGATGGAAAAATATTGCAGTGGTGTTTTGTTTTCAAGATGTCAAGCTGCTACCTCACTTATTTCTCAGGCTGATCCTCAACATAAATCTTTCCCAGCACAAAGCAAGGATTTTTTTTAATTACCCCCATTAAGAAACCAGCAACAGTGACCTTTTAGTTCTTTCTCTTCTGTTCAAAGAACTGCAACCCCCACTTGCAGCCTTCATAAAAGAATTGTATGTTATCTGTTAATTTTTTTAGTTGCAACTTTGAATTTCACTTACTATTTTGCAATTCCCCCCATGACAAATAGTTCTTGCTTCTGATACATTGGAAAGAACTGTTTGCTCGTGCTAAAGCATTTTTAGATGTAAATTTCCAATCTTTGAATAAGGCATAAAATTTGTACACAAATTAAATCATCGCTAATTGATGGGATTACAATAAAATACCCTTCCCTAAATGCCTATGCTAGGTCAAGATATTTCATTAATATCTTTTATTTTCTTGAAAACTTCTTACCGTGCAATTTATAGGCAAGACGTTACAAGAATAGTAAAAACAAGCTGAGATAAACTCTCTGCTGATGTAAAATTGTGCATCACCATTAATTTCAACTTCATTTAACTGCTGCAGAAAATGTGGTGAATTGTATTAATTTGATGTAAAAAGAAGCTGTTGGTCAAGATAACAGTAACCACAGCAAGTGTTTAGTTTTCAGCATTAAGGCTTGATCCTAATAGCTTAAGTAGAGATAGTACCACTAATTTCAGTGGAAATGCCAAAGGAATAAAATAGCTGTGTTTGCAGAGTCAATCTCATAAATGCATATAATAATCTTGTTTGGAAAGAAAAGAAAAAAATATCAGTTATAAAGAGTCAGCCACTGGCCAAAACATGTTACTGCCTGATGCATATCAGCTGCCACTCTCATGGACATCTCTCTAGCCCCTGGCTAGCTTGAAAAAATACACAACTGTCTTTCCTTCACTGAACACCCAATTTTTTACTCCCTCTGTTGTTTATAAACTCTGGAGACAGTGATGTTTTAATTCCATCTCCAATATATAAACCTGGGAGGGGAGCTATTGGGCCAACAGTGTGCTGACAGCCTCCACTTAAAATGCCTATTGCAAGGAGAGCCCTGAAGAGTTTTATAGGATAGTATGTGGCCTCGTTTATGCTACAAAGCTGCCACAGAGAATATGTTTTGGTGGGAACTAGGATGTCAAAGAGGATGAACAGTTTAGTGTTAGGCTGACAGTTTATTTTTTCACTTTTTTTTTTTTTTTGGTAGTAACATATTTGCTGGTGTAATGGCTAAGTGCATGCAGTGGCCCTCAGGCTGTACTGTGGTAGCTGTGGAGGAAATGTGTAACAGATTATCAGGAGCGTTATAATAGATGTGCGTGACAGCCATGGTGAAGTTTTAAAGGACAAACTTGGGGGAAGGATGAACAGGTATGGTAGAGAAAGGATACACTGGATAATGACCTTATTTCACAAATCTGAATTAAATAAATCCTGCTTTTGGCGTGATCTTGAGCCCTTGGCCAAGTTCCTTCACCAGATCTATCCGTCAAGATCAATGAGACAATCCTAAGAGATACCCAGCAACTCTGGTGTCAGATGTCGAGGCTGTCATTTTGCAAATGCTCATCTATGTGCTTTACTGAACAAGGAGGAAAGATGCTGGTCAAAGGGGAAAGATGTGTGAAATCATTCATTCATAAGGATCACTCGTGAGTGAAGTTGGGTGAGCGTGTAGGTGTTTGCAGGACGAGTGTAACCACAGACTGTGAGTTCCTATGCATGGTTCTCTGAGTCTCCGCAGAGCGCCAAACATAACAGCCACCCCTTAGCAAAGAAATGAAATAATAATAAATATTAATAGGGAAAAAAGGGCTTAACATTGTTAAAGTAATCTTGTCTGGCTGCTTCTCTTTCACTGGAATTGCTGTGTGTTGCTCTTTAGTGGTTTTGTGGTTAGCATGAACAAAATAAAAAACAACATCAACAAAAATTTCAGAGAATGTCTTGATTAGTTCCCCAGTGTTTTGTCAAGGAAAAAAGCTTCCACACAATATTTTAATAGCTATATGTGAGCCTCCCATTGAAATTTCTGCCAAAACTGGTTAACTAGGACTTCTGAAAAAGTCAGCTTTTTCAGTCTAATTCCCATGCAGTGTTCAGCAAGAGTGTCTTAAGGGTATATATTGGGGTGTAGGGGGAGTATTAGATTTGATGAAGTGTTGTGTTTCTCTCATAACAAACAAAACAAACATTTCATGTCTTTCATTAGCTACACAATGTTAATTGTAATGATATGTCTCCTGGAGTTTCTTCTTCTCCTCCAGCCTTGTAAAAGAAATAGCAGGAAAGAATAGAATTAAAAAGCATCCCATTCTCCCAGAAACTGAGGAGCCTGTTAAATCACAGTAAAAAACTAAATAAATAAAAAGACTGCCACAGCAAAGCATCAATTTTCCATAAGTTGTGTGAACATCCATAACCAGTGACAGCATATTAACACTGTGTTTTGCTTTGCTTGTTTTAATCATGAGAATTCTATGACTTGAGAACTTAACTCCTAATAACAGAGCCTAAACCCTATTAGCATGTTCAAATAAGCATTTGCAGGGAGGCTGTTAAAGATATGTCAACAATATGAGCTCAGCTTTTTTCGTAATGGAAAACACACATAGCTGAGGACCATGTTTTATGTGTCTTTAAAGAGAGCTGGTCCAAATGAAAATAAATAGAAGGCGCTAGTAGAGATACTCACAGGGATGATCTGTCCACACACTCCGATGGGTTCATGTCTTGTAAACGTAAAATAATCTCCATCTGAAACAGATGAGCATGGTTACTCTCAAGTGCAGTTTGACTTGGCAGAACAAAAAAAAGGAGGGGGGAGAGCTCTAAGGATCAGCCTTTGATGGCCGTAAAAGAAATAAAGAACTCATGGAAATGTTTTTTCATGAGCCAGCATGGGAAACCTAGGTTCAGGAGCAACCTAATTGTTCTTTCTGTAGAAGAAAGGAAACAGACATCCCATCAGAAAGCAACCTGCTTTGTTCCTTGGGAAAGAGGACAAGCTGTATGGCACAAAGAAAGGACAGTAGCAAGGAAGCCATTTACTGGCCTCTGCTGATTGCAGGCTGAGGGAAGAGGCGAAAGAATCACAAAAGCAATTTCCTGAAAGGAATGGCTAGAACGTAGCAATATAAAAGTGTATATACAAGCAGATTTGGGGAAACAGAGTAATATACGTATATTTTAATGGAATAATATGTACAAATCTGTAGGTGTGGAATGAAGATGAGAAGCCTGTCACTGATGTGCAAAGGAGAATACAGGGGCCATCACCTAGCACTGCTCTGATATCTGACTTGTAAAACAAGGCCTGTATCCGAACTGGCCTCAAGCTAAACAGGCAGTCAGTTTAAGCTGACAGGGAAAAGCTGGATGCTGCTGGAAAACAAGACAATGGAGAATAAGAAAAATTTTCACAAACCTGTTGGGCAGGTAGAGGTTGGATAAATAAATGAAGGGACAGAGTCACTGGAAACTTGGAAAATATGGAATATTCTCTCACTGGGCTTTTGACACAGAGGTATAAGAACATGGGCTAATAAAAATCCTAACAGTACAGATACAGGAAAAGCAGATCGTACGCCCACAAACAGTAGGCGTGGATGGTACAAGGCTTGAGGGAATTACTTAATTAACTCCCTGATCTGGTAGTTATTTTTAAGATCCTGAAGAATCAAAATAGCAAAAAAAAAAAAAAAAATTACCCAGAGGTGAAAGGTGTCATTATTTAAAGTGAGTGCTGTGCTAGAGCTGGAGTCCTTAACTAAAGCACTGTTGAGCCCAGGGCAGCCTGAGTCAGGCTATGAAATAAACAGCTCTGTGATTTGGGGAAACCTTTCACGTGGCCTGGCCTGCTCAGAGCGGCAGGGCTCTGCGCTGGCACGCTTTGCACCGCAGCTGTAAGCGACTGTCGCGGGACTGACCAAATTCCTGCTCTTCTCCCAAAGCAGCAGGGGTGTCGCACCCGCAGCACTCGCCTGGGGCCTGGGAGGGCAGGCTGAGGTTATATAGGCTGTGCTGTGATGTAGGTTTCTTCCCCACTGATGAGGAGCAGGAAAAGGATCTGTTCTGTGTGGGCACTGGCTGTGGCAATGGCTAACTGTCAGCAGTGGTAGTAAGCTTGGCCTGCATCTTCTGTTAAAGTACTTTTGTACCTAAGTTGAGGTTTTTAGCTGTCTAAGCTAGCCCAGGCTCGCACAATGTCTGATTTCAGATCAGATGTTTTTCAGAGAGGCTAAAAAGGAGGGAAGGGTTACAGTGAAGGCATAAGCTGGATGTGTACCTAGGCCTACAGTGCTTGGCTATGTAGAAAAACATGAATCTCTTTATTTAGAAAATCATTTCAACTACGTATGTGTGAGATGGTGAGAATGTTACCTAGGACCAATGGCAGGTGAGGAGTTACCAGGATAGAAAATGCTCAGAGGGAGGAAGGGAGTAAGAAGAGGACAGATGACAGGGTTTTTTTTGTTCCCCTTCTCCCTGTCTAATGCAGGTCATGTGCTTTTCCCTCACGTGGTGTGAGAGCACCCGAGCAGCTGTGGGCCTCTACCCCGTTCCGTCTGGAGCTGCAGCCAGCCATGTCCCGTATAAGGGAAAGGCCTAACATCACAACAGAGAGTACATTTTGGGAACCTGCAGCAATGTCCTGTACCATACATCTGGTAACAATAAATGGGTTAATCCATAAAGTTTCCTGGGTTTAAGTAAAGGCTTCAACTTGGATTTGATTAGAAATAACTTATTTTCAGGTCTACTTATTTCTGCACAGCTATTTCACAGGATTTGCTCGGAAGAAACCTGAGCTAGAGCAGCTAATACATCAGCTGGGTGCCAGAAATAGAATAATTATGGGAAAGGTAACAATAACTGTAGCCAGGAAAAGGGACAGAACAGAAAAAATAAAGGAGGGAGGGAGGGAGAGAGAGAGAGTTTCACATCAGGAAAAGGGGGAAGAAACTGGTTGATCTGTCTTGTTTGTTCTACACTGACAAAATGTTTCTGCATCTTTTCAATTTGCAGATTCTTAACAGCTTCCCAGTGGAGATGAGAATATTTGTTTCACAATTCAGATGATTAGCTTTTCCAGGTTATCTTTCACAGACCCTAGCAGTGGTTCACACACAGAACCAGTCATCAGACCAGAGAGAAGTAAAGTAGAACTATAGAGAAGTATATATGGGAAAAACTGTCTAAATGCGCAAGAAGCACATAGAAGAGTCAGCTAGAAATACCAGCTTATACTTGATATTACTGTGAGAGGTGGATTCTCAGCCAGAAAGATGGTGACAACATTAACAGTAACACAGTTATGTTAGCACCATCTGACTTTAGATTGTCGCTCTGTAATCATTACCACATGTCTGTGTGCTTCCTAACATAAAGTTACAGATAACCTGAACATGGCTGCCAAGTCAGACAAATGGTGGTTTATTCTGCTGCCTCGAGGCAGCGTTCTTTCCTCAGAGCAATCTGTCCTGTGCAGGGTTGCTTGTCCCACTTTCTTCTATCAGACTCTAGACAGTTGCCCTTTTTTGCATCTACTTCTAAAGTTCATCATCCGCAGACTTATTAAGATGGGACTTTTGAGGTTGCTTTCTAATGACATCTTTGTGAACACATATGACTTCAAATTATTCAGAAGCTTCAGCTGACTCTTGACAAGCCAAAGATACACGTAAGAGCCATCCTGTCCATACTGTAAAATAAGTTGTTACCATGGCAAAATAACTCAGGTTCAATGAAGTGAATCACTTTTACTGAACAGTGAGCACAGAAAGCTCCCTGTGCTCAGAAATGAAATAGGCAACTTGTTAACTTTTTAGAGTTTTAAGATTAGTGCATACAACTCATGATAATAACACTGTTATTCTAAGGTGCTATTGCTGATGCTTGTTACTCCTACCCTTCTGCTAGCTGGCAGCCAGCAGGAGACTGAGATGAACCTGTCAGTCTGATCCCACATGCAAGCTAAAAATTTGTTTTAAAAGCTTTTTTTTTTTTAATATCCTCAGCTGATGTAAATTGGCATTCTTCAGCACTCACTGATATTAATAGAGCTGGGTCAATTTGCAGCTGCTTAGCACCTGGCCCAAAGATTTTTATTTTTTAATTAGAAAGAAAGCTCTGTTTATCCAGGGATATCACTATGGGAGAGCAATACCTTCCACAGATGTGTCTGCTCAGATTTCCATCAGGAATCTATGGCCTGGACATTTAATTTGCATAAAAAATCACAATATAGTCAAATGTCTCGTACAGAAGCACACAACAAAGAAGTGGGTGAGTAGAGCAGAGTTGGTTCTTTAAGTTGTGTCATATCATATATTGTATTTAGAGATACATTTCTGCTTGCATTTAATTTGTTAGTTTAATGGCTTCTATTGTAGCCTCATTCTGTTTTAATTAAATCATAAAGGCTTTACAAATGAGATGCAAGCAAAGGACAGTCTGAAGGTCTTAGCAGCTCTGGGACCAAAAGGAATGCGACTGAAAAATACTGTTCTTCTGTTCTCTATGTGTCTATCACTTACCTACTGTTATTTTAGAGGAAAAGAAACCCTTACCAGAAACAGATGAATGATTGGGATGTTTCATATTTATTAGCACACTGAACAGAAAAAGAGATTTAATATAGTTTTGTTTTTTATTTTGCTTTTGTGGCCTTGTTTGGTTTCCTTTGCCAAGCTGACGGTAAGTGAATGTAAAGAGAACCACTGTTTAACACTGGCTTTGCTCAGAGATAGCTCTATGGGAATGACAGATTTATGGTGTGAAACTAGAGAGAAAAAAGTGGTATATTAAACCAAGAGGAAGAACTAATTCATACCCTAAAAAAGTGTGAATAGACTTATGATTGTACGCTACTGATAACTGTGTCAGCACTGAAGTTTGTATTTAAGAAGATCTGCTGAAAATGTGGCTTTCTCTCTCCCAGCATAGCCCGCTTCACTGAAAAAATCAGGGTCTCATCTGCTTCACTATTTCTGAGGACAAGAATAAGCAGAGAATATTTATTTTCCTTAAGTTGGCACTGCCTTCTTGTGACCGATGTAACTTCTGTGTTCCTGTGGAGTGAGAAGGAGGCATTCACTGACCAGGGAGAAAGGGATTAGGGAACAGGAAATTTGCTGAATATATGAATTTATGGTGTGCTCTGCACTTTTGCTTGTTTAAATGTGAAGTGCAAGCAGCAAAAGGAGGATTTATGGATCTCAGCCTAAATGGCTGTGGAAATCTTCTTGAGTCCTTACAAGAGAGTGTACAGCTGATATATTAATATTGTCATTTCTTTGGTGAAAATATACTAGTGATGATAAACATCAGTCAGTTACACACTGCCGTTTTAACAGGCTGAAACACCATGATGAATAACACTGCAGAAAGAGTTACATGATCTGTTTTTCTCCTGAAAATCGGGAGCCACATTTTCAACTTGTCAGCTTACCTAACTTTGATAGTTTTGTGCTTTGTTGTACTAACTACAGAGGAAAGCTAGTGTACTGCAGACAGAGATGATACATTATGTAATTTTATGTAAATATGTGACCAGTGTAAAGGTGCCTACTGTACAAGGACATCAGCAAAATTCATTTATTTGTGAGTGTGCCTTCCTGGTATCCTTCAGTAATGTGTAATAAACATGCACGTGCAACCATGAAGCTGACAAATATGGAGTAAATGTTGCTCTTCCTTACCGTTTTTCTAAAGATTTACTGTTATGTAGGTAAAAGATGAGTACATTTTTCTTAGTGACTGCACCCGCATAAAATGAGTCTTTGCTATGTTGTGCCATTTTGCATAATTATAGCAGTTGGTACATCTAGTCTAGCTTGCAAATGAACATGTTCACAATCAAAAATGCTGCCTGCGTTTGTTAAAACAGCTGTGAGGGAGAGGCAGGAGGAAGAGACTCGTTGACTAAAAATGATGGTAAGGATTTTTTTCTTTTCTAAGCTCTTTACCAAAAAATAAGAGTGGAATAACTTATTTCTTAGCGCTCATAAAGATTTATTTCGCTCATACATCTAACAAATCTGATCCCACTGAAGGGTTTGAAGAAGCAAATATAACATAAAATGTATCTTATATCTACATACAGTTTTCTATGATAACATTACAAACTCTATCAAGGCATAAGTAAATTTGGATCCAGTGCGAGTCTCAAGTAAAATGATTTGGATAGGCAGTAAGAAGATACATATAAACAAGATATATTTGTAAGCACACTATTTTCTTAAATAGGCGGCACTGTGTTTTCATGCGTTCCAAAGTATTTGTCGGGCTTATACCACATCCATTTTTACAAGTGTAACGATATTTCGATAAAAACATTGAGCTATCTCCCTCTCAAATGGACACATGAAGAAGAACCAAAGCACCCTTTGGATGCATGTAGAACAATAGCAGGTCATCTAATCCAGCCCTTGCTGACCTGTAACATCATCTTCAGCAGCACATTACACACAGGTAAGTCCACTTCGATTTCCACTTAGACAAGAAAAAATTACTGTGTAATCTTTTAATCCATTTGGCCATCAGAAGGTTTGTGTGCGCACATATGCTTTAATCTCTCTTACCTACAGGAATGGTCATTCCATGGATTTTGTCTGCCCAACCAGCATAATATCTCAGGGTTTTTATTACTCCTTGAAGATCTACATAGAAGGCTTGCAGGAAAGGTTTGCCACTGTTCAATGATTCCATAGTCTAGAGGACAAGAAAAAGTTGAGAGATATAAGCAAAGTAGCATTTTTAGACTATTGCATTTCAGTATTCACAGTCCAACAGCTCTTTAGTCATGACAGACTTTTAGTGAAGACCAAACCAGTTACTCCTTGGCATAGTCTTAATCCAGACGGTTCAGAACAGCTGTCTGGACCCCTTTGTTACTTCTTTTTGTAAATGTGAGCGTAGAGGATTTTCCTTAAAAAAATCTAGTTCCTCTAAGCCTCCTGGAATGACTGTGATTTTAAGAATGTGTGTGTGTGTGTGTGTGTGTGTGTGTGTGTGTGTGTGTGTGTTTGTGTCTGTATATTTTGGACCTAATAGCCACTGTGTTTGGTCCAGATACATAAACGCAAAATTGCTTTAATCAGGAGCCAAGATAAAAATGCCTGTCAAAGTAGGTTCTGTTATGTTAATGATAACAGCTGAGAAGGGGCTCCTTGTAACCCCATATTAATGATCTGAATCCATAAAGAGAAGAATAGACATATCCCTCTTCATATAATTGATGTGAATATAAAAATTTCTCTATATGGTTGCCAAGACTCCTGCTGAGTTCTGAGATATCTATAATGTACAGCCAGTTTATTTATTGCCCTCAAATAAACAAACTTTCCTCTAGGGAAGCTCATAAATTAGCAAGCTAATGTCCTTATTTTTAACTTAGTATTCCTATTTTTAAAGTACCTTATAAGCTATCCTCTTAAGAGTTCCTAAGATCATTTAGTGAAAAGAATCCAATAAAATGTCCTAAGATGCTGAGTGGCTTAACTGACTGTTAGTAGCTGTCTAATAGAAACCATTAAGAATGGGCAAAGCACACCAATGTGTAACACATGAATATATGCTAACCGTTGAATTAACTGCTATAGAGAAGAATAGAGGCCTAATTCTGCACTGACTTACATCCCCAAGAGCAATTAATGGCATTGCCTGTGGTGCAGTTCAGTAAAGAACTTGGCTCTAGAAATACAAATCTAATGACAGGCAGAGTAAACTTGATTTGCTGTGCACTTCCTTCTCCCTGCGGCGATTTTACAGTATACACTGGTGGTAAGATGATTTAAGTGTTGACAAAGCTGGAATTAAGATGTTCACCAGCTTAAGTCCAAAGCACTTGACATGCGGAAAACATTAACAATGCCACTGTTAGATGCTTCATACATGAGGTAAATAGCATAATACCCAGAATTTGTTACCAGTTGAGTATCAGTAAGGATCGCACCTGTCATTTTATTAATATCTGCACAAGTTACTTCAATGAGTCTTCCATTCTTTATTTCAGAAAAGTTACAAGTGCACATAACAGGCATACACGTGTGGCCACCAATGCACACCTATTCACTTGTCTCATGTCCAATGTAAAGGTCATCTGAGTAATCAAAATTGTTGTTGACTTCGATGAGCTTTGGATCAGTTCTTGAACAGACAGTCAGCCATCTTAGTCATCAAGGTACTTTAGTTTTCAAATATTGTTCATGTTAAGACATTTATGAACTAATTTGCTCTCAGAATTTAAAACTGACAGATGGTTTGACTCTTGATTTTCTTTTGCTACTTACAGCAAGAATTGCCCTGTCTCTTTCAACCAAGTCTGCTAACTTATCCAAAAGGTGGCCTCTTTCCGATGCATCCATTCTCCTCCAAACTGAACCTAGAGAAAAAGCAAGGCGAGCTGCTCTCACTGCTTTATCTGTATCAACCTGTCAAGGAGGAAGAAAAAACAAAGCATTGAGGTAAATAACAATAGAACATTACCAGGCTTATGAAATTGCTTGCTGTACACCCTCTTAGTCACATGATGGATATTGGAACTGGAATTAATACAAGAATTGTCCAACAGTGGTATTCTAGAATTGCTGCTTTTTGTCTATGTGTACATTTCTAATCATACAAAGGATGCATTACCTTGTCAGCTTCCTGGATCTCACAGATCTGCTCTCCTGTTGCTGGGTTATATACTGGGAATATTCTCCCACTTTCAGAATTTTGCCACTCATTATTGATAAAAATCTAGAAAAGGAAGAAAAAACATTGTAAAACTTCTCAATCCTTCTGCAGAAATAAACAGTAATGTATATAACAACAAACTTCTGGGAAGGTTGCAGATTCTAATAAAAAAAAAAGGTGAAACTAATTTATGTGTGACTGAAAATTACAGTTTTGATTCAAGAGTTCAGACTGAGGGTCAGCCCCTGATGTCTTTCTGTGTTCTGTGGCAGTGTCACTATGTCACTATAGGAGCAGCATTAGACTCTAAATAATTTGGTTAACAGTCAAATTTGATTCAAGCATTGTAACAAACTAAAGAAAGAAATAATGATATCAGAGCAAAAGCCTTGAAACTGCTGGAGTCAAGACAAGGGTTTGGACTAATCATTCAATACCCATCTCAGTAAGTAAACATTTGGTCACTGATATAGCCCAGTCAAGGCTGAATAATCTCAAACATCACAGTTTTTCAATACACAGTCAGTTGATTATGGCTACACTTGAAGGCTTGCAGAACAGAATTAGCTTGCTTATCTACTTGGAACAATGGAAATTGTTAAATTCTCTCAGTGTTGACATCATTTTAATTGTCATGGGCAAATCAAATTTGAATTTTAGTAGTGTTGACAGCAGCTGTCTTGAGAGAGGTAACGACAAATGAGTTTATTTAAAGTAGGTTTTTACTGGTAGCTACACACATGTAAGTTAACTTTTCTACTAAGTGTCTCTCAAGAACAGGATGCAGTTATTTATTAGCAAATATGAAATAAGTCACTCTAGGAAAACAACAGAGTGAAAGGTTTTTGTGGTATTCAGACTTTTTCTGTCCTTGAAATCTTTTTAAGACAAAGGATGAAAGCATTCAAAAAGCCAGGCCTCATATTGGTTCCTTGGAGTTCATGTATCAGTGTTCTTTTATTGTATTCCATGAAATACAACTTTAAATGCTTAGGGGGAAATCCTGGCCTCATGGAAATCAATGGGAATTTTACCACTGACTTGATTGGGGCCAGGAGTTCACCCCTAGATAGAAGGAAAGTTTACTGCCCTTTCTGCAGTTTGGGTTGTTTTTATAGAGACAGGGACCTTTCTCTGATTAAAGCAAAGAAAGTCCTATACCCCACACAGGCCCTACAACTGTGGCTGAGCGACCCTTTGCAGGGGTAAGGAGTCTCAGTTCCCACCAGAGATACTCAAGTAGTGAAAATTGCCCTATCTTTTTAGATCACAGCTCCATAACAGGAATCAATGACATATATTTAAAACTGGCCCAGTTTTCTCACAGAACCACCATATCTTCTGGGACAAAAGTCTGTCCCACTGATGAGGCAGCCTAAACATCACTCACTTGTCCAAAAATGTGCTCTGTCCCTCTCCAGTCTTGCACTCTCTAGTCTCTTGCTGCCAGGCAATACAGAAGTTGTTACCTTTGCACTAATACACAGCTCAGGTCAACCATGATAACACAGGGAGACGATGGAAGAGAGTTTGCATGTGAGGACTATGCTGAGATGGTGTCAGATTGTTGGTTCTTTTGCTTGTTTGTTTTCTTTAGAGAAAAATGTGATGTGGCAAGACCAGGACAATAGTAACAAAAAAATTATTTGCTTTTCATGTGGATATGAATAGAATGCAATACCTGTCTCTTCTATTCAAAGAATATGTATGATTATAGATCTGTTGCTGATTTTTCTAGGGTTGGCTCAGTACAATGAGGCTAGCAGCACCAGCCCACCAACTAAATAATTTATACCTTGAATATTATAACTTAAACATTTATAACTTTGCTGAAGACAAAAAAAAAAGCATCAGTCTCAAAAGCTTGTGTGTAAGTAAAGAGGATCACCAAAACTTGAACACATCTGTAAGGGATGAAGGAGGGAAATGGAGGGATAGGCCTACCTTGCTGAGAAGAGACTGAGCTGGGGAAAAAAGACGGAAGCTATTTTAGCAAAAAAAACCCAACCTAGAGAACTGGTTGTAGAAAATACAGCCAGAAAGCCCGAGATGAAACACTGCAATACCAAAGAGCATAAAGGGTCTGTAAAAGAAAAGAACACGGGGAGGGCACTGGGATGGCCTTGCACTTTAAAGAAATTGAAGAGATTGCACACTCATATTTGCACGTTAAGGTGAAGCTGCTTCCGTAGAATTTGCTGTTGCCAGACATGAGCTCGCTTAACCTATTCTCCATGCCGACTGGCAGCCATGTAGCTGTGTTCATCTCAGCAGGGCTTCTTAGCTCGGGCTCAGTGCCACACTACCTGCAGCGGCCTAGCTCAGCGCTGATTCAGAGCTGACTCATGTCCGGCTGGCTCAGGACATGGGCAGGATGAGCCTGTGTCTGTCTGAAAAAGACCCGAAGACATACCGGATTGTGCACAGAAACCAACAGCTACGTGGGCTTTTGCTTTTATGGATTTTTTTTGGAGCTTTCAGGGCTCCAGGAACCGGGCTGAGATAATAACTAAGTACTTGTGGATGGTGACGCAGGAATCGCACAGAGGTCGGGGGATGTGTCCTGCCTACAGGGTCGCAGAGCAAAGGGCACTTGAGCCCCAGCTCAGCCTCTGCCCTTCCCCTGGGCTCAGCAAGTGATCGTATCCCAAGCCAAGGCCTCAGCAGCCTCCTGGTCTTGGGGCAGGGAGCTGGGAGAGTTACAGGAGGCTCCCAGGGCAGAGCTGGGCCGTGCCCTGCTCCCCGCCGCAGCTCTGCGTGGGGCAGCAGGCTGGCTGAGGAGCAGGGCGCTGCCCACGCCTGAGCTTCCAGCACCACCAAGAAGCTGCTTTGGTGGTTTTTCCTCACTGCTGCCTGCCTGCCTGCTGCAGCTGCCGCCATTGTGTTCCCTCATCTCCCCTCTGCCTCTAGCCTCAGCCTGTTTTGGTTTGTGCTCTTCCACCCTTTTACTTTTTCTTTTTTGTTTTAGCTTTCTAAAGTAACCAGACCCAGGACTGCTTAACACACCGTTTCCCATCCGTCGCTTTCTTTACATGCTGTATTTATCTTGAACCTGTCTGCGTACTGGGCCCATGGGCTGCGTCTGCCTGTGCTCTGCTTACGCTGCTTCACAAAATGAGGTAGTGGTCCCTGTTAGGACATTTTGGAGCTAACTAACTGGCAAAAAAAACAAAAAACAAAGAACCATCAGTATCATCTCTAGTGACTAACATCATAAGTGGAAATCCTCTGGTCTATCACTGTCACTTTTTAGACTGTATGTAAGTGAAACAAAGAAACCCTGCGCTCTGCGACCTGTGTATAAGGCTTTTCTGGTGTCCTTTCCACTGCCTGCACTGGAGTTCATGCCACGCTCACAGTGTGGGGGGTGCGCTGGCGAGGGCGGGAGAGGCCGGAGAAGAGCTTGCGGTTTCTGAAGCAGATGGCCAAAGGAGATGTAAGGATGTTTGTTTAAGGTTACAGTATGTACACAAACACATAGGTTCCCTGTGTGATCTCTATCTTGAAAGAATAAAACATTTTGGTTGGATAAAAGAACCTGAGAAGTAGAGGCAACAGCAGCATTTTTTTCTTGTTAAAGGAGCTTTAAAAATTTTAACTACATGCTGCTGGGATGAACAACTATCCTCAAATTTGCCAGTACGCAGGACATGTATATGTTCCTAAAATACATTTCAGCACAGGAATAGGAAGTAGTGCCCTGGAATTACAAAAAAGGGTTGCAATGCAAGTTAATTAGAACTATAAGGTGTATGATTTTATTGAGTGCTCCGTTTACCCCACAGTGTTTAGAAAAAGAACAGCAACAGCAAATATTTCAGATAGGACATAGGAAAGATCTATTTGGCATAAAGTTGGAGTCGAAGGCAAGAGAAATTGCTACCGTTAATGGTTAATGTTAGTTTCTTCCTGTTCCACTTTCTATAAACAAGGTATTGCCTATACAAGCTCATTACTGTAAACTGAGCACATTTAAATTGGCAGTAAAATCAGAGTATTTACTCTAGTGCACATATAAAGTACCTAGTCCCATGTTTTGGAACAGTTTCAAGTCTTGAAATCCAGCAGCTGGCGGCTTTACAAGCAAAACCTTACACTTAAATAACTCACTTTTGAAAGTTTTAGGTGTTCTGTGTCAGGTAGTACCATTCAGCAGATATTCCTACCACCAAGACTCAGATTCTTTTGCAATAAATTTGCATTCACAGGGGCTTTTATAACTCTTCCAGCACTACTGACTCCAATGGCTGTTGATTAAATGTATATATCCTGTACATTTAATCTGACTTTCATTATGGCCACTTCGTAAAAATGCCATGAAATGGACAAGCGATGACACATTGCAAGAACAAGGAATCCCTGCAAAGCCTCAAATTGGGTTTTTTTCCTCCCTTATTTATAGTGACCATTGTAAAGGCTAACTCTAAATCAGGGAGAATATTTGACAGCAAATGTTCCTATCTATGGATTATATATAACCCATCCTAAACACCAGATGAAAAAAGGATAACCCTAGAAAAAAGAAGGGCTCGCTTCCATGTAAATCATGCTACAAATTGGACAACACCCAGTGAGTTCATTGTTCAACCTCAATTGTGAAGGCTATTCACATTTACTATTCCCCTGGAATCAATGTTAATTAAGGCTGACTGAGGCTATAAATCAGCCTTTGGTTTTTACAACTTAATTCAGCATTAAGCATATATATGTAAATAAAAGGTAACTGATTAACCACTTGAGTTTTCCAGGAGTTACTGAGGTAATTTGTTTTTGTTTGAGTCCTAGTGTTACCTTTCGTGGCTTACAATAGGGAAAAGAAAAAGTATATAGTATGTCATGTATTTGCTATGCAGTATTGTGAGTAGTTAAATAATCTGGCCTGTTGGGTGCTATCAGCAAAACTGTGCCAAAATGGAAAGGGAAGAAGGGAACACTTGAAAAATTTTGGAACCCCCGTGAACCATAGTTTGCCATCTACTCCCAGTAGAGTCAATAACTGCAGTAATGTCAGACCAGTAAGAGAAAATGCAAACCCTCCTGTTTTACTGCGGTCCCTGCCAGTA